AATGAACCCCAGTATTTATGCCATATTGTTGTTGTTCAGTCATTTCATTTGTGTCCAACTCTTTATGACCTTATGGACCTCCATCTGTGGGGTTTTCTTGCCAAAGACACTGGAGTAGTTTGCCATTTCCTTCTCTAGTGACAAACAGAGGTTAGTTAAGTGACTTGCCCAAAGTCACACACAGCTAGGAAGTTTCTGAGACTGGATTCGGCCTCAGCTCTTCCTTATTCCAACCTAGTTGCCTCATTTGTGCCATAGTTTCTGGACAATTTGTCCAGGGGCTGCCTCTTCTCCTCTAGGAAAGGGCGAATAGGATAAACTCTTATGCCCAGGCCAATCCAATATGTATTTACTAAGTTTCTACTCTGTGCTACAAAGATGAAAATTAAAACAGTTCCTGCCTTCACGGAGCTTAAATTCTCCCTGTAGGTTACATGTCTCTTTGTCTTCTAGGGGAGTTGCTTTCTCTAAAGCAGGTTGATTTATTCTCATTTACTGTCCCTCCCTTACCCTCCAGGTCCCCCTTACATCCCACCCTCTATCCCCTCTCCCATTTCCAAAATCTTTACCGAAGAATGGTGGTGGTGGTGGTGGTGATTGGGTGCTGTCAGTGGTTGGGTGCTATCAGTTGGACGCAGAGGTCACGTGCTGGGTGGGTCAGATGTTAATCCAATTTGGTCTTCACAGGGATTCTAGGGTTGAGAGAATCCCTGTGCTCAGTGCTGGCTCTGCCTGATTTATGCCACTGTGGAGGGAAGGATGGAGGCCACAGAGATGCCGCTTGCCCTGGTGACCCCACCCCACCCCCCTGACCACACTTCCGGGAGAACTGCATCAACCTGTTCTCCATGTATCCTGCTGCAGGCCCTGATTTGCTACGGGGCTGAGGGCTTGGGTGGGGAGCTTCCAGGCAGGTGCCAGCGTGGGCGACCAGAGTCAGACTGGGATGGGAAGTAGCACCTGTATCAATGACTGAGACTTGAGGGAGTAGGGTGGCTCAGGGTGTATATGCGTGGGATATCCTTCTGTACATTCTTCTGTGATGTTGGAGGAGAACATCAGAGTTGTCAAGGAGAATTTTGGCTTCAGGATCAAATCTTGTCTGGTGCGATAAGGAAACAAAAGTCCTTTTTCTGGAGACTCTGTCAGGATGCTGAGCTACTGAGGAATAGGGTGTATTCTGTCAATCTGTCCTTTAATCTCACTGATGTATCTCCATAGACAGAATAGTCCCCTCTACAATTTTAAAAAATAAATTAGTTTTTTTCAGAAGACAAACATTTATTTTTCTTTTCCTTTCCCCCACTCCCACCATTAAAAAAAACAAGCAAAAAGAAAAGAAAATAATGCCCTTGTAACAAATATCTATAGTCAAGCCAAATTCCCACATTGGTCATGTCCAAAAATAAATATCTCAGTCTGCACCCTGATACCATCATCCCTCTGTCGGGAGGTGAATAGCAGGCTTCATTACTGGCTCCTCTTCAATTCTTCACCTCTCTGGTATAAGATAGATATTGATATGTATATATGTATTCACAAACACACACATATGTATGTGTAGATATGGAAGCCCAAGGAAATTGTGTCTCTGTACTTTAGTGGGAATACTATTGGAATACAGTTGGGCAGCTAGGTGGCACAGTGAATAAAGTTTCCCCCCTTTCCCTGTGTGACCCTGGGCAAGTCGCTTAACTTTGTTTACCTCAGTTTTCTCATCTGTAAAATGAGGTGGAGAGGAAATGGCAAACCACTCCAGTGTCTTTGCCAAGAAAACCCTAAATGGGATCATGAAGAGTCATCCGTGACTGAAAAATGACTGAACAACAGCATTGGACTTGGGAGGCAGGAGACCTTAGATTTAAGTCTAGATTTTGTCATTTGCTAACCGTAGGCGAATAAAATTTTTCTTTTTTAAAAATTGTTTTTAAGATTTAAATCTCTTCATCTTGTCTATTCTGAAAATTACAGTGGCCACTTCTGAACTGCAGGGGAGCTTTGACTTGCACTGTTTCCAACCTGAGCTGGTTTGCGCCTTCTTAGGTGAAAGGAATAAACATTTATATGGTACCTATTACATGTCAAGCATTCTGCTAAGTGCTTTTTATGGATATTATCTCATTTGATTCTCATAACAGTCTTGGGAGGTGATTACAATTATTTCCCCCATTTTACAGTGGAGGAAACTGAGGTAGCGGCTAAGTGACTTGACCAGGGTCACACAGCTAGTGAGTGTCTGAAGCCATATTTGAATTCAGGTCTTCCTGACTCCAGGCTCAGTGCTCTATCCACTGTGCCACCAGTTGCCTCTTAGGCAACCTGATGGCCTCCAGCTCCCAACAACTCACCATATTAATGCCAAACTTAGTTTGGGAACCCATTCAGCTCAGAACTCTGGAGCTCAAGAGATTTGCCAACCTCAGCCTCTTTCATAGTTAGGATTACAGGCATGAGCCACCATGTCAAGCTCTAACTTGATTTTCGAGTCACAATTTTCTCATATGTAAAATAATTTTTATACTATTTACCTCACAGGACTGTTGTGAGGAAAGTGCATTGTAAACCTTGATGTACTATAGAAATCAAACCTAACTATATAGCTGTTTGGTTTTCCCTGGTTTTCTGTCTACAACCATTTCTTATTTCCTGCAGACTTTTTCTCTTGTCTCTCAAGAGGTTAGTTAATTTAAAAAAAAAGATGAAGTTTCCTTTTGGGAAGTTTTGCTTCCATTTCCTTGCCTCTTTAACAGCCGCATGAAGAGCGACTTTTTGTTGTAAATGAAAATAAACTTGGATAAAAGAATCAAAGATGCAGTAAGACGTGTCTTCCACTCCTGTCTACAATTATTTGCTTAGATTTTTAAAGAAGAGGTCAATTAATCTATTCCTCTGGATGAAGACATTCTTTGGACCCTGGAAATCCTCCCTGACCCTAATCAACTAACTCCAGAGAGGAAGCTTCTATCCCAGGGGTGGGGAACCTACAGCCTTAAGGCCACATGTGGACCTTCTAGGTCCTCAAGTGCGACCCTTTGGCTGAATCCAAACTTCACAGAACAAATCTCCTTAGTAAAAGGATTGGTTTTGTAAAACTTGAACTCTGTCAAAAGGCCGCACCCGAGGACCTAGAGGACCACATGTGGCCTCGAGATGCAGGTTCCCTACCCCTGTTCTATCCCTTCCCCTTGGAATACAGTCTGAACTTCTTCATTCTCAACCATTGATGTCTAAGTTCTCATTACCTGGTGAATTCTCCATGGATCCAGAACACATCTATGTCCTGTCATCCCTACTGTATTGTCACTCTCTCTGGTCCCTCTGCAAGCCTATTCTCCCTTCCCTCCACCATCATGCTAGAGTCACAAATGACCCATGGCACTTAGCATCAGGGTAGAGGGCTTTAGGGACAAAGGTAGAGTGGGACAGGTGCCTGAGTGGTGTGCAAAGGTATATGGCCATGGGATGGAGGTTCACAGCCAAGGGTTTAGGTGAAGCTTCATTCATTTTTGACTTTGGAAGTGAGGAATACTACCTTGCGCATAATAGGCTATTAATAAATGTCTGCTGAATTTGAAATGGAGCTGCCCTGGACGTTTGCTTTTGTCTTACACCCTTTCTCAGACCACATACCCTTCTCTATTGCCAGCCCTGTCTTCTTCCCAGAATCTTTCACCTCTCTCTCCCCATCCCATCTCTGGCCCCTGCTGGACCCCTCTAGCAACTTTTTCAAGTCTCCCTACGGGGATCATTCACATGATTTCTCTGAGGACCCTGGGGTTCCTTCCGTCTTCCTTTTTTTACATTTCCAAGAATGGAATTTAAAATTAGATTCCATAAGAGAACTCTTCTTCCCTGTTATAGTGATTGAATTTAGGAGGCTGGGTGAGGGTGACCCTTCCCTCCATGAAGGTCTCAGACCCATTAGCCTTAGATGCTTAGGGCTAGTGCTTTTCAGTGGTATGGAGACAGACAGCTGGGAAGCCCCTGGAAGGACTGGTCAATTTTTTAGCCTCAATGTCTTTGGGAAGCACGTCCGGCCTCTGCAGCTCCCTCTGGTGGCAATTCAGGGTTCAGTTATCACGCTGAATGACAGGTGTCCAACCTTTGGTGGGGCTTTGGGGTGAATGGTGGGTAGAGTATGGTAGGAAAACTAATAGTAAAAAGAGACAGTCTGCAGAGCCTCTAGTGACCACTTCTCACTCTTCTGTACCAGAGAAGCATACGGAAGACACTGGGACAAAAATCACATAACTGCTCAGTTTTTTCTTCTATTTTTAGCAATTTCTCCTTTTTTTTTTTTAATTGTTATTTCCACTCCTTCAGAAGAAGCAAAGATAGAAAGGAAGAAAATAAGAGGAAAAGCAAAAGGCTTAGGGAAGGCTGGCAGCACTGACCCCATGAGAAAAATGAGCATCCAGCAGGTGGCAGCAGTGGGACCCTGAGAAATCATACTTATGCACTTGTTCATATTCTGGGGAGAGAGGAGACAAGGGAGGATTCCCATTTGCTAGGGAGCACCATGTATATCCTTCCTATGAGATGTGTGAAACAGTTGGGGAAAATGGCAATTGCAGAGAAACCACTTCTCTTTAAAATCCAGTGAGATGGTTATGATTGGGGCTGGGCTTGTTTGTACCTAATTCTTTGCATGTTGTCTCCCCGATTAGATGGTAAGCTCTTTGAGACCAGGGACCATCTTTTGCATTTATTTGTATCTCTAGAGCTTAGCACAGTGCCTGGGACACAGTAGGTGCTTAATAAATGTTTATTGACTGATGGAATGATATGGAGAGGGGGGTAAGATCTCGTTGGAATTTGTGTGAATTTGGTGCTTTTTTTTTTTTTTTTAGGAAATTTGGAATTTTAAGGTAAGGAAGAAGCCTCCACCATCCCCATCTTCCTCTAGGTCTCTGATTTAGAGCTATCCCTCGAGCTTCCCTTTATAATTTGTTTCTTGAACAGTTGTTAAATTCCGTATCCCTAAACTCCCACCTCAGTCCCTAGAAGAATTTTGAGGTTCTTCCCCCCATCCCAAAACTCATTTTGGGACCGAAGCTGCCCCCAAACCTCTGTCTTAGCAGATGGTGTTCAGCCTGTAGAGACTGAGAATAGAGATCAAACTCAGCAGCCAATCTCATGGTCTCAGCCTTCATGGCTGCCATCTCTGGGCTCTCATCCCCTTTCATCAGCAGGCTTGAATGACTGAAGAAGTCTTTGTCATCATCTAGACTAAACACTGAGGAGTTTAGCTTATCTCTTGCAGGCAAAAGTTCTAGGCCATCTCTATCCTGGAACATCCCAGCTTTGCCAAACCCCTTACTGAGCAAGTTGATGAGGGAGCTCACATTCTCTTCCACTTCATGGCTGACTGATGAAAAACTCTCTGACTTTTTGGAAGCCCCGAGTTCCCTACTCTCCCGGGAAGACAGGTCCTCTAAGCCCTTACCTAGCAAAGTGGACCCCAGGTGGAGCCTTCCTAGGTCTGGGGATAGCTCTGACCTGGGGGATGGGGGGTGGATTCGCTCTTCCCTCCAGTTGCCCCCCAAGCCCCACTCCATCTTCTCTATCCCCACAAGGTTAGCCCCTGAGTGGGCCAGGGTTGTGTGGCCCCGGGGGAAAGGGCTGGCAAACCAAGAGTTTCTAGATAGTACTTGAAAAACAGAGAGGGCAGCATATAGGGCACAGATGGGAGGCAGGGCATCAGGCTTCCAGGCAAAGAGGAGACCATCACCCTGTAGGTCAAGGCCACAGAGACCTATCAGGGCCTGGGTCACAGTCAGTTCCTCTCCTTGGAAGCTCTGAAGGAGCTCACAGTGAAGACGGAATGGTCCTGCTTCAGCTCGAATGAAATTCTGGTCCAGGATGGTCTTCATCTGGTGTTTAGAGGGTAGGAGTAGAATGTGTCCCCCATGTGTCCAACCCCTGATTCTGTTGGTTGTCTGTAATACATCTGAATCCCAAGCCAGCCCTGTTCTCGTTCTCCTCCACCCTTTCAGACCTCTGGTCCTAGCTCTTGCTCCTGCTAGGCTTCCTAGCGGTAATTTGGTAGAATAGAACGGGCACCACGTGATCCGTCTCAGTTACCAATGAGGTGCTGGACCTCTCTGGGCAGTTGCAAAATGGACCTTTTGATGTCCTAGGCCTCTTCCAGCTCTAAAACTCGACTCTGTTCTCTAGTCCTTGGACCCTGTCCTCAGTCTCCTCCCCTAGACCTCCTTACCAGCTCCAGCTGTTGGGAGAGGATTCTCTTCTCCACAGACATGGTCAGCAATTGCTGCTGCTCTTCACTCAGCTCTGGGGACAGAAGAAAAGAAGGGCAGAAGGGTCAGAGAGGGAGGTGGAAGGCAGAGCCTGAGAGAACCACTGAGTCAGTTCTAGGTAAGTAGACAGGGTAAGTGGTCTGCTTGGGAGGGGCTAACCATTGAGACATGGTGAGGAGGCAAGGCCACCCACTCTCTGTCCCCTCTGGAGGCAGTTCAGGGCAGGCAGGCTGGGAAGTCTCCTTTCTTTGGGGGACAATGAGGATGGAGGCTGGGCTGTTTGCCCTTTTGCAGAGTGGGAGGAAGGAGCTACAAACACTATTCAAACACTGTTCAGGCATCCTGGAAATGTGCTGTATGGAGGCCATTCCAATGGGACCCACCTTTAACTCCCAACTCCCCTTACCTTGGAGTGCCCCTAACAGGTAGAGAAAGCTCCCAGCCAGGATAGGGTGGAGTTTGCCTGAGGCATCCTGCAGCTTGGCTAGGATGGTATCCCCAGGGCCCCCCAGGAATCTTTGGGTCACTGGCTCCTCAAGGTCCAATGCTCGGTTCATCTGGGAAAGAGAAAGCCAACAATTTGACAAACATTTATTAAGGCATTGCTGTGTGCCAGGCTCTGTGCTAAGTATGGGAGACACAGAGAAAGGCAGAAACAGGGTCCTTGCTCACAAGGAATTCACATTCACATTCTAATGGGGAGAACCAAGATGCAGAATATAGAGAGGATAAAGGAGAGATAATCTAGGAGGAGAAAGAAGTCCTAGCACCCGAAAGGCCTCCTGAAGAAGGTGGAGTTTAATCTTGATAGGAGTACTCACTGGGCGTTCCCAAGACAGGGAAGAGAGGGGAAGGCTATTCCAGGGCAGGAATCATCTCTCACCTTCCAAAAGAGTACTCTTCAAGGGAAGGGAGGTGTCTCCCCCATCACGTGGGAGCTTAAGCTCCTTTGGGGCCCAGCTACAAGTTTTCAAGGATTTTGGGAAGCTGTCTGACTGCCCCCCCCCAGCCGATACCCCCCACTTGTGCATCCGCCCCCTTTACCTTGTCCTCCACCTCTTGCAGAGCTTTGGCCTGGCCCAGCAGCCCCAAGGAGGGCCTCCAACAAAATTGCACTTTGTTCCAGGGTCATACTTTTCACAGTGGGCATCTCAGCTTCCACCTCAGCCTGAAGTGCCTTGAATCCCCTGAGCTCTTTGGAGGGTGGCTCAGGCTGTAACCCTGCTTTGGAAACACAATAGCTGTGACCAGTTCCTAAATCCAGAGAGTCCCTGCTAGCATCCATTCATTAAACCAGTAGCTTTCCATACGCATCTGGTCATCTGGTCCCTCCCTTTTGCCTTGGAAACTGTCTTCATTTTCAGTCCCTTTGCCTCTTTGTAGTTTTCCTACTGCCCCCAGTGTGGTCCTCCCTTTCTGATTTCTCACTCTCCCCTTCTCCTATCTCCTCCCCCCTCACTCTCCTTTTCCTCTTCTTCCTTTCTCTTCCTCTCTCCCTCCCCCTCCTTCCTCTTCTTCTTTCCCATTTCCCTCTCCCTCCTCCTTTCTGTCTTTTTTCTTCTCCATTACCCTCCCCTTCTTCCTCTCCCTCTTTCTCTGTCCCCCTCCCCCAATTCTGCCCCTCAAGGCTCCAGTTCTAAAGGAATTGTTTGGATAGCAGTGGAGTATAGCCCCACTTCCTTCTCTTGGATTGGGGCTTTTTGAAGCTCTGGGGGAAGGCAACTCCAGTATTTCTTCCTTGGCTTTCTAACTCCCTCACTGTCCAACCCTGGTTCCCTAGATGGAGCCTGGTGGTGAAGGAAGGGAATGGTTCAGCTCCTTACGTCCTGTCTGGCCTGTGGGTGCTGCAATGAGGGTAGAAGCAAAGTCGGGGACACCCCAGGGGAGTGACACAGAGATAGACAGTAGTGATTAATAGTGTAGATGCTAATTTAACCTCTATACCTCTTCCCTTCTTCAGCAGATAGCTTGGGGACAAGGGGGAGCAGCAGAATAGCCTAAGAAGCTTTTGCAGAAGAATTCTAGTCCCTTTCTCACTGTGTCCTACCTCCCACCTCCACCTCCATATATTTATGTGAAATTAATCTCACCATCTTCTTCCCACCCCCATCATTGGCTCATAGCACCTTTACCACAGCTTTTCCCCACTTCCAGAACTTGGGGAGCTATGCAAACCCTCCCTCCCCAAGAATTTCTGTACTCTTTTTAGCCCAATCAGATTATGGAAAAAAAGAGAGGGGAGAGGAGCCGCTTGGCCATACCTACCTTCAGAGGAGGTGAAAGTTTTCAGCTTTTTATCTTTGAGATGGGAGATGTCTGCAGTGGATAGAAAAGGGGAAGGCAGAGGTTATCACTGATTCCTTGCTGTGTCTAGGAACCCACCAAGGAAGGCAGGGAGACCAGGAGTGCTTAGAGAAGGGAAAGGGGAGCAGAGGAACTATAGTGAGGAAATTGAGAAATCCAGGCATAGGGAAAGAAATGTCTCAAGGGAGCTTTGGGCTATAGACTGTCTCTGGGGGATTGGGAGGAAAGGGCTAGCATGGAAATCTAGGAGGAGAATGGTCTGGGCACTGATCCTTGAAGTGCAGTGACCCACTAGGAAGATAGGTTTGCTCCCCTCTTTCCTCATCCTCCCTTTATGGCAACATACCCCAATTTTTCTCTCCAATGACAAGCTGCTTTAGCTGGAAGGCGAGGACGGAGCCCAGAGGGACATGGATGATGGTATTGAAGCTAAAGGAACCCTGGAGGAAGCCAGGAGATCCACATGGGAAAAGAGAGAAAGAAAGGGGTAGGGATTATAATCATGACCATAACTTATATTTGTGTAATGCTCTATGGTTACAAAACACATCGACACACATGTACATTATTAGGTTTTTTTTTAAGGAATTATTTTCTTCAGTGAGCTTTTGTACCTCCTTTTCCATTTGACCGATTCTACTTTTTAGGGAGTTTTTTTTCTTCAGAGAATTTTTGTGCCTCTTTTTCCATTTGGCCAATTTTACTTTTTTAAAAATTAATTTATTTATTTTTAGTTTTCAATATTCACTTCCATAAGATTTTGAGTTTTGAATTTTCTCCTCTTCCCTCTCCCCTTTCTCCCAATTTTGCTTTTCAAGGCGTTCTACTCCTCATTGGATTTTTGTACCTCTTTTACCATTTGGCTTAGTCTGGTTTTTTTTTTATTAATTTATTTTGATTTTTCAAGAATTACTTCCATATGCTTTTATTTTAAAATTTTTCTCCCCCTTCCTTCTAGTCTGTTTTTTAAGGTGTTATTTTCTTCAGATTTTTTTTTGTGCCTCCTTTACCAAGCAGTTGACTCTTTTTTCATGATTTTCTTGCATTACTCTCATTTCTCTTCCCAATTTTTCCTCTACCTCTCTTACTTGGTTTTTGAAATCCTTTTTGAGTTCTTCCATGGCCTGAGACCAATTCGTATTTTTCTTGCAAGTTTTGGATGTAAGAGTTTTGACTTTGTTGTCTCTCTGAGTGTGTGTTTTGATCTTCTTTGTCATCATTGTAACTTTATATGGTCAGAATTTTTTTTCTCTTGTTTGCTCATTTCTCTGGACATTTCTTGACTTTTAATTCTTTGTTAAAATGGAGTTCTGCTTCCAGGGTGGAAGGCTCACTGTCCCAAGCTTCAGGGGTTTTGTGCAGCTGTTTTCAGAGATACTTCTAGGGACCTGTAAGTTTTCAGTTCTTCCAAGGTGGTGTGATCTAAGGAGAGGTGTGTTTACTACTCTCCTGGCCTGTGCTCTTGTCTCTGAGTGTCACAAGCACTCTTTTCTGCCCTGGAACTATGATGAAGGTCTCTGCTGCCCTGTGGCCATAAGCTGGGCTCTGCTAGTGCTCCTCCTTGCACTGGGACTCCCGCCCAGGACTGTGACCTGGATCTGAGTATGGGCAAAGCAACAGAGTCTTGCCTCAGTGCTAGTAGAGAGACTCCTATAATCTCCTTCTCACCAGTTGTTCGACCCCCTTGCCATTTGTGGGCTGAGAGTCCCGGAAGCAGTCACTTGCCACTGCTAATTCAGTGGCTCCCAAGGCCTGCTCCTGATTTGCTGGGTCTGGGTCTGGGTCTGGGTCTGTGCTGGTGCAGCCTGCACTGGACTGTGCTCCACTCTCATCCAGGTGTGACAGACCTTTCCTGCTGACCTTCTAAATTGTCTTTGGCTAGAAAATTATTTCATCCCATCCTTTTATGGGTTCTATCACCCTGGAATTTGTTTTAGGGCATTCTCTAAAGGTGTTCAGAGGGGTTTTGGGGAGAGCTCAGGTGAGTCCCTGCCTTTTCTCCACCATCTTGGCCCATTATTAGGTTTTTATAGTAGAAGGAATGCTGGATTTAGAATCAGAAGACCTGGGTTCATATCCCACCTCTGACTCATCTTAAGTCACACAGCTAGGAAGTAGTGGAAGTAGGAGAGGGACTGAGGAGGGAGGGACTCAGGTTGAAGGGAACACAGGAGTGAAGGATAGAGTAGAGCAGAGAGAACCTCTTCTTGTTTAGTTGATTAGTCATGTCCGACTCTCCATGACCCCATTTGGGGTTTTCTTGGTAAAGATACTGGAGTGGTTGGCTATTTCCTTCTCCAGCTCATTTTACAGATGAAGAAACTGAGGCAAAAAGGTTACGTGACTTGCCTGGGGTCACAGAGCTAGTAAGTGGCTGAGACAGAATTTGAACTCAGGTCTGATCCTCTATCAACTGCACCACCTAGCTGCCCCTAGCAGTGTGACCTTAGTTAAGTCATTTACTTTCTCTGTGCCTCAGTTTCCTGAAAACTAAAAATGGGGATGATTTATTTTTCAAGGTTAATGTGAGGCCCAAATGAGGGCACAGAAGGAGAAATTCTGCAAAACATTGTAAGTATGATACAGATAAGGTCCTAGGATTTTGACCTGGAAGAGACCTTAGAAGGATTAGAAGGCCTAGGGAATGGAGCTGTGATTTTATTGCTATAGGAAACTCCCAGATAAGGAAACTCCTTCCGTTAATGCAGGTCAGTAACTTCTCTGCAACTTATAGCCTTGAAGAGTAGCTTAGAGCACTGACTTAGAGGTTAAATAGCTTGCCCAGGGTCACATAGCCAGGGTGTCAGAAGTAAAGACTTGAACTCTCTTCCTAGTTTCCAGGTCAGCTCTTCATTCACTGTACCATGATACCTAGGCACCTAGGTGAACAGAAGGCTGGGCCTAGAGTCAGGAAGACCTAGTCAAAAAAAGTGGGGCAGCTAGGTGGTGCCATAGTGCATATGGACCTGGAGTCAGGAAGACCTAATCAGGAAAGAGGGGCAGCTAGGTGGTGCCATAGTGCACCAAGTGCTGGGCCTAGAGTGAGGAAGACCTAGTCAGGAAAGAGGGGCCAGCTAGGTGGCGCCATAGTGCAGTGAGAACTGGGCCTAGGGTCAGGAAGACCTAGTCAGGAAATGTGGGGCAGCTAGGTGGTGCCATAGTATACATGGGTCTAGAGTCAGGAAGACCTAATCAGGAAAGAGGGCGCAGCTAGGTGGCGCCATAGTGCACTGAGAGCTGGGCCTAGAGTGAGGAAGATCTAGTCAGGAAACAGGAGGCCGCTAGGTGGCGCCATAATACACAGAGCACTAGGCCTGGACAAAGGAAAACCCAAGTTCAGATGCAATCTTAGAAACTTACTAGCTGTTCACCCCAGGCAAGTTACTTAACCTCTGTTTTCCTCAGTTTATTCAACTGTAAAATGGGAAAGATAGTAGAACCTATTTCACAGGGTAATTGCAAGCACCAAATAAGATAATATTTGTAAAGTGTAAGTACAGTGCCTGGTTCATAGTAGGTAATTAATAAATGTTTGTTTACTTCTCCATCTCATTATAGGATCATAGTTTTAGAGCTGGAAGGGACCATAACTAAGAGGAGAAGGCTAAGGGCCTGGATTCGTCAAGGAAAAGGGCCTGAGGTATACAATGTATCTTTGTGTCATTATAGCCTTGGCTTTCCCAGTGTGATGTAGGGTGGGTGAGCACCAGGAGGAGCCAGAAGTGTGAGAATTCCAACCTTAAGCCCCATGGCCATGGGGAGAGGGATGGAAATGCCGGCACCAGCCTTCCTCCCCTTCTCCAGCTTGGCATCCTTCAGCGTCTCCACTGCCTCAGTCACCATATACAGATTCTCCCCACGCTCCCGAAGCCTCTTCAGGAAGGAGGGCTCTGGCTTCTTCAGTTTCCTGGGAGAGGAAGAATCATGGTTTTCATTGGGCTTTGGAACTGCGTGTGGACAGCAGCTTTTCTTCCCACGTGCCTCCTCTGTTGTCTAGCTGTCCCACTCTGGGCAACCCCTTCCCTACTCCTCGTGGGCTCCAGACGCTGTAGTGGGACAGCTCAGAGTCCAGACAGTCAGTCAGTGATTGCCATAGGATCTGGCACCTGGCTTGACACACTTGATTTACCTGAAATGTGTATGTGTCTCTGAGTTCATTATATGGCTGCTAGGTGGTACAGTGAGGAGGGAGGGACTTGAGGTCAGGAAGACCTGAGTTTGAATCCTGCCTCAAACCCTCCCTAGCCAAGTTACTGAACCTTTCTGGTACTCAGTTTCCACAACTGTAAATCAGGGATAATCCTAGCACCTACCTCCCTAGGTTTGTAAGGATCAAACAAGGTAACATGTGAAACACCTTGCAATCCTTAAAGTGGTAGATAAATGCTAGCTCTTAATTATTCACAGGTGCCTATGTAGGGGGTCTCTCTGAGTGTCTGTATTTAGGTTTTTTTGTGTGTCCATGAATGCATGTGACTGTTTTTGAATTTATGAAAACCCATGTATTTGTGGCTTTGTTTGTGAGTATCTCTATGTCTTTGCAAGCCTGTGCTTGCAGAAAGTGGGCAGGGCTGGACCCCATTAGAGAGATCTCTGTGCTGGCTCTTATCATCTACCCTTCAGCTATCCCTTCCTAACCTGGGCCTTACCACTTCTTTAAGGATTCCAGCTGATCCATGATGCTGAGCTTCTGAACCTCCAGGCAGTTTTAATGGGAGCCACCGGCACAGACAGTGATATCCACAGGTATCCCGATGGCTGCAGTCTTCACTCCAGCCTCCATATTCCCTTCACTGTTCCCTTGAATTGCGATCTTTGTGTCTTTTCTTGGCGCTGCCAGACAGAGATGGCAGAGCTCATCCTGTTACCCTGCTCCAAACCCACCTCCTCCAAGAAGTACTTGGATTTCATCCCAGTAACAAATGCCCCTCTCCCTCTCCTCCAAAGGCAAAGAGGCCAGGAGAGGAAAAAAATCCACAGTGGCTCAAACTTGAAGGTAAGGAATTTGAATAGCCTGTCTTCAGGGCACAGAAGGGATAACAAAAAAGCAGGATTCCTAAGGCCTGTGCAAAGGTATCAGCTACCAAATTAGGAACTAGACATGAGATCCAAATGAGAATCATTCCTAATCCTCTAGAAACCATAATGCGTCTACCTCAGCTTTTCACTGAAGGTTTTGGATCAGATGACCACTGAGGTCTTTTCCCATCTTAGATCTATGATCTTATGTCTGGCTTTTAAGGCCCTTCATGATCTGGGTCCAACCTACCCTTCTAGCCTCCTTCCACATTACTTCCCTTCAAATACTCCATTTTCTAAACTGTATTTCTAGCTAGTCCTTGATATTACCCTACCAACTCCTACTGCCATGCATTTACTCAGGTCAGACTTCATGCCTGGAACACACTTCATCCTTATAGCTATCTGCTGAAATGGCTTTTTTCCCTTCTGGTCTTAGCTCGGGTGCTACCTTTTCCATGAAGCCTTTAGGGATCACTCTCTCTCAGCTGAAAACAGAAGGTGTTCTCTTTTCTTCCTCAAATTTCCCTGCAGTACTTTGTCTAAATTTTTCATTAGCTCCAATCACAGTCTACCATGTGTTATGCTTCTGTGTTTACATGTATCCTGTCCCTGTCTCCCCCTTGTCAGGGCTCTGGGTATTTTCTCTGGCTGTCTTCCATGCCTGGAAAACTATCCCTCCTTTGCTCCAACTACTGACCTCCCTGGTTTCCTTTAAGCCCCAAGTAAAATTCTACCTTCCACAAGAAGCCTTCCCCAATCCTTCTTAATTCCAGTGCTTTCCATCTGTTAAATTATTTTCTATTCATTCTGTATATAGCTTGCTTTGTACGTATTTATTTGCATGTTGACTTTCTCATTAGAGTGTAAGCTCATTTAGGGCAGGGACTGTCTTTTGCCTCTTTTTTTTATCCCTAGAGCTTAGCACAGTGCCTGGAGTATAGTAGGTAAATAAATGTTTATTGATTAAATGTAAGATTCTTGAGGGCAAGGCACTTTTTTTTAAGTCTTTATCTTCCTAGCCTTACAGATAGGAGATGTTTAATAAATATTTGTTGAACTGAGAAGAGGTCTTTTTGGAGAGCTGCGTTTTCTGAATAGATGATGATTTATCCCTTTAAGAATAGAAACTTGAGGGGCAGCTAAGTGGCACAGTGGATAGAGCACCGGCCTTGAGTTCAAATGTGACCTCAGACCCAAAACAAAAACTTGACACTTACTAGCTGTGTGACCCTGGGCAAGTCACTTAACCCCAATTGTCTCACCCCTTCCCCCCCCAAAAAAGAATAGAAACTTGTATTTTATTTAAGACCTTTAAGATTGTTGTTGTTGTTTAGTCATTTTCAGTCATGTCCAACACTTAGTGACCCCATTTAGAGGTTTCTTAGTAAAGATACTGGAATAGTTTGTCATTTCCTTTTCCAGATCATTTTATAGATGAGGAAATGGAAGCAAACAGGGTTAAGTGACTTGCCTAGGGTCCCACAGCTAGTAAGTATCAGAGGCCAGATTTGAAGTCAGGAAGATGAGTCTTTCTGATTCTCGCCCAGCACTCTATTCATTTCACCTTTAAATTCATTCATTCACCTTTAAAACTATGTTTCCCATACTTCCCACCTCATTAAAAACAGCATACTGAATATAATTTAGTTAACATGGTGCCGTATTTTTTGGGGGAGGGGAGGCTAGGCAATAGGGTTAAGTGACTTGCCCAGGGTTGCACAGCTAGTAAGTGCTTTGTGTCTGAGGCTGGATTTGAACGCAGGTCTTCCTGACTCCAGGGCTGATGTTCTATCCACTGCGACACCTAGCTGCTCCAATGGTACTATATTTTGAGTGATGCCCTTAGGTGTATAGGTGTATAGGTCTGTACCAAATGGTTCCAGATAGTTTTCTGAGTTCTTGTGCCTCCTTTGTATGAATTTCCTTTTTTCCCCCTCTAACTCAGATGGTCAGCCATCTCTTTTCCTTGCTGTTACCTGGGTTCCAGTCCTATCTCTCACATATCATGACTATGTGATTCTGGGCAAGTCATTCAAACTCTTAGAGCTCTAGGCAATTCTCTAAGACACTAAGTGGAAGAGAAATGCCAACCAACATTGGTCGTGGGACTTTCCTCACCTGGGAATTCCTATGTCATGGTTCCAGTCCTAATATCTAACCCTATCCAAGTGAACTTGCCAATAATAGACTCTGTCCTAATTTGCTGTGAGTTAGTGTTTTAAATAAGAAAAAATGGGCTTTGAATAATGACCAGAGTAGAATGCATGAGTCCATGGACCTGGTGATCTCCATCTTGGCTGCCTGGAAGCATTTCTCTTGCTTTCTTGCTAGCCCATGGCTGTGTTTTGGCTGGTTGAGATCAATGGAAATAGTCTGAATGAGAGATAAGTCTTTTTGTGATCAGAGCCATGTCCCCACCCCACCCCCCAGCCCCATCCCTTGTTAGAATAATCCCACCTCTTATTATAATATTCATTCCTGTCATTAATTGTTAACCAGTGAGAATCGTTTGCGCCCTCAGGAACACCCACTCTTCCAAGGCCATGTAAGCATTGAGTGGGTTCCATGAGAGGTCTTTGGCATTCAAGAGTGCCACTGACCCCTTTTATTAATTATTTGCTAGCATGATTAATAAAATGATTAATTACCAGAAATTACGTCTCTTGAACTTTTATACCTCATAGTCCCTTACCCTACAGGAAAATTTAGTCATGCACTCAAGCCAGCTGTAGGAACTAGATTACAGTGAGAGAAAACAAAAGCCTCCGTTCAGGTACCAGGGTAAGAAGGGGCTTTCTCGGACTCAGACAGGACTGTAAATTTAGAACTGGAAGGGACCTTAGTGGTTCTGCTCCAACTCCCTCATTTTACAGATGAAGAAACTGAGGCCATAGGTGTAATGACTTCCCTAAGGTCACACAGTTTATAAGTGACAGAGGCAGTCTTTGAATGCAGGACCTCTGAGTCTAGGGCTGCAGCTTTTCCCACACTGCCGGTGGGGAGAAAGGAATGCAGAGGGGTGAGGAGCAGGGAGAGAACATAGGTGGGGTGTGAGGAGAGGCGAATGAGCCCAGCTGTTCCATGCTAGGGTCCCGGTAGCAAGTGTCCTTGAAGGTAGACTCACTGGGAACGTTGCTGGTATGTATTTGGGGAGATTGACTGGTATTCTTTAGGTTGTTGAGAATGGATGGAGACAGAGAGGAGGAAAGGCCAGGTGAAGGGGTGCCCTTCAGGTGTTGTGCTTTATAGCTTCCCTTTGGGGATGAGCATCAGGACATTGGTGGTGTTTGGGTCCCCTTGCTTCAATATCCCTGTGGCTACCTCATGCTGACCCCTGCTGGTTGGGGTGGAGGAGAGGTGAGGCAGTGATGACAAGGCATGGGTGGTCAGGTCAGAATACGTTATATCCCTGAGAACACACTGTCCAGCTCTAAAGGCAGCTAGGTGGCGCAGTGGATAGAGGGCTAGAGTTAGGAAGACCTGAGTTCAAATCCTGTCTCTGACATTTCTGAGCTTTGTGATCCTGGGCAAGTCACTTAACCTCAGCCTGCCTCAGTTTCCTCATCTGCAAAATGGGGGTAATAATAGCCTCTACCTCCCAGAATTGTTGTGAGGATCAAATGAGAAATTTGTAAAGTCTTAGGACAGTGCCTGGCATATAGTAGGTACTTAATAAATGCTTGTCTTCTTTCTTTCTCCCTCCCTCCTTCCTTTTCTCCCTTCCTTTCTCCTTCCCTTCCTCTTTCCCTCCCTCTCTCTCTTTTTCCTTCCCTCCCTCTGTTCTCTCCCTCCCTCCCTTCCTTTTTTCCCTAAGAATATAGATATGCCAGTGGTCCCCAAAACCCAAGCAGTAGGAGGACAGGGACCCTGAGGCCAACAGAAAGTTTCTGTGTGACAGAAAGATACTTGCTCATCCTTTAACTGTGGATGGTGGCACTCAAAGAGGGAATTCATGATCTACGGAGTGGAACTCCCTATGCTGCCCCGACTTAATTGCATCCCATTCCAATCCAGTTATTTCTTTTCTATGTAGCTATTTGCTACTAATACACTTGGTGTGCACTCAATTCATATTCACTTCTAGATATGATAATGGTCCAAGTCAGTGCCTGGGATCTATGCCTTATTCCTTCTTTCTCTGTATGCCCTTCCTAGTGTCTGTGGACTGGGAGCTTTTTCCCCTCAGACCGCTTTGAGATTCATAAGACTTGTGTGCCACTGGGTGAGTGCCTCTGATGGAGGCTCCACCCCTCTTCCTGCCTGGCTCCATTCCTCTTCTCATCCCTCCACCCCTTTCCATATCTGGAATGTAGCCATGTTAGAAACATCCAACCCTGTGCTGTAATTGACAAGGCATCAACAACCAATCCCTGGTGTCTCCCTGACTATGACTTCAGGAAGAGGCAACCAATCAGATGTCCTGAATGAGACCCTCCCACCCTAAAAAAAACCCTTGGCCCTGCCTTCCCTGGGCTGCTGAGTTGCCCTGATGTGTGAAGGATGGAACCCATATGCGCCCATATTGAAAGCAGCAGTGAGGGGAGCTTGGCCTGACTCGGGCATGCCACGTCCAGAGGGCACCCTCTTGTAGGATCATCAGCCCCCTGCTTCCTCCTGCCATGATCTCATGAGCAAATAACTGGCGGCCAGATCAGGTCCCTCTAGCGACTGAGACCCAGTTGCATCCTTTGCCCTTGACTCCTCCTCCCTTCCTCATGACCTTGGGTGAGGTAGTATGACTTTCCTTGTGTGAGTTAAAATGCCTGGACCAGACTTCGGATTTCTCTGGCATAGGGTGAATTCCTTTTGAGAAAACACCTTGAGCCAGTGTAGGTCGTCAGCACCTTCTCTGTACCTCAAAGCAACAACCTGGAGGATGGAGAGATTGTTCCTTGCCCTGAATCACACAGTTAGTATATGTTAGAGGTGGGTTTTGAACTCAGGCTTTCCTGACTCTAAGGCCAGCTCTCTATCCAGTAAGCCACACTGCATCTTTGTGACTTAAAATATGCCTGCAATCAAAGCCTATTGTTTTTAGCATCACTGGCCAGTCTGCCTCTTCTAGGGATGCATGTTGATCCCAAAGCAGCTGCAGTGAATTGGTACAGTGCCCTCCCTGCCAGGCTTTACCCCAAAGGTTGGCACTCAAGGCCAAGAGGAATTGAATAAACCAGTTGTTGGGTTTTTCTCCTTCTCCCACCCCTTTACATGAATGCAATGGCCTGAGGACAGTATATGTATCTGGCATGTCTCCAGGGTCCTCTGCATGAGTGCTGTGCTCCTGATCATGGAAGGGATGTGCATGTGTGTATGTGTATGTGTATACATGAGAGCGCACATATGTGGAGGGGGGTTACTATTATGGGTGACTATACCTGGCAGCTTAGTTCCGGGCTCTAGCATGTCTCAGAGAGAAGTCTGTCTTGACATACTGAGCTCCCCAGAAGAGTGAACCCTTCTTCTTCCTTCGCACCAGGCAGAAGGGCCAAAAGCGTGAAACATCAATGATGCTGCCTAGGGCAATCAAGTCCCCATCGGATCCAGTTGCCGTACCAAGGACTGGGTGGTGTCTCCAAACACGGGAGCCATGCTTCCTAAGACCTGGTAGAGAATGTTGGAGGGTGGATGAAATAAGAACAGGTTATCTCTGCCTGTACCTGGCCACCCCCACTCTCCTCAGTCTTGACCTGGATTCTTTCCCCTATCCCTTGTGGGAGACCCTCCCTAGAACTGGATTGGCACACCCTGGATGGCAGAGCACTTGGCACTTCTCTTTCACTTCTGGACACCATCCAGCACCTCAGCCCACTGTTGGCCCCTTCTTCCTAAATTCTCCCACATCTTCTGACCCTATCTTCACTGCTCCACTTTGGGAGAATTCCCACTTACCCCTGCCCTTGGGTGGCATAGAGCAGACAGCTTTGCCTGGCTTCTCTGACTTAGCTGAAGCAGTTGTTTCTGACTCCCACCTCCCCGGCCCCTGCAACCGCACAGGTCTTAATCCGGGGACCTGAGGAGAGAGAAGCAAAGAGAACAGATGTCTCTCCCCATATAGTTCCCCAAATCTCATCTCTTTTACTAGACTTCTCATTCATTTGCTCCTCTCTCCATCCCCTGTATCTCTTGTGAACTTATAGAGGACAGGGGAAACTGGGGAGAGGACAGGCCAATGTGAATGAGGAGAATGTTGTTCCTCCCCCCACCCCACACCACCACAAAGGTCTTTGCCAGAGATTGGTCCTCTCAGGCCCACGGAGCCCTCAGGGTGACCCCCTCTCACTTGCTGAATTCGTTGTCTTTTTCCCAGCTCACCTTTGGGTGATCAGAAGTGCCCAAATGGTTTCAGGGTAAGACTTCAGGCTGGAGAGGATCCTTTTCTCTGTAGAGTCTAGGCTTACCTCCAAGAGACTGGTTTTGGATCACAGGTATGATGGGCACATCAAATGGGGCTCCTGGTGTCCGTGTTAATGGAGAGATAGGAGCGCCCCACCTATCCCCACACTTATGTCCCCATTCGGTCCACTTCCCAGAAGTCAGCACAATTTGTCCCAGCCTGCCCCTAGGGAGTGGGGAGGGAAGGGCACTGGAAGGAGAAATGGTGACTCTGACAGTATTCACATGGGGGGGGGTAGAGGAAGGGGGCATCTGACCCAAAGAGTGCCCATGAAAAGATCATGTCCTTTCCCCCTGAGAAGCCTATTAGGGACAAAATGGCTGGTCATAGGTGCTGCCAATTTGTGAGCTAAGAGAATGCCAGACCCCTGGCATTTCTAAGTGGTTGGATTTGCATATGTGGGGAGTGGGTCATTAGATTTCTACCATTTCCTACGGAAAGAGGAAGGGGAGACAGACGGTTTCAATCTCTTCTTGGATGGGTCAATCTAGAAGAAATTAGAAGAGCTGGAGAGTGATGAATACAGAGCCCATTCACCCAAAAGATTGGGTATGATTTTTTTTTTTGGAAGGTGGGAGGGTGGGAGGTTCCCAAGGCAAAAAGAAGTGTGGGAGGAGGCATCAGAAAAGAGACAGGGCAAAGGAAAAAAAAAGGGATCAGGTGTGGGTGAGAGTGGATAGAAATTAAGTGATAGGGGAGGAACCAGATTTTCATCTCTAATGAACTCCCACTCCTTGACTCTGCCCATAGGCCTGTATCCCACATAGGGTGGAGACACTGAGAAGATGGTCCTTATCTCCAGTTTCCATTGGCACCCACAAGCCACTAAGACACAGCCCTTTCTCTCCCAGACACAGTTTGAGGGTCATCCTCTGTGGGTGCAGGGAGAAAGGAAATGGCATTTTGAGATGCCCCCAAGAGCTGTAAGGGTCATTTCAACTCATTGGCAGCCAACTCTGCCTAGAGTCTTCCTGAACTTCTGCTAAACTCTAAGCATATTTAAGTTCAGGACCAACTTCCCCTCACCTTGTTCTTCATTTTCCCTGGGGAGAAGATAAGGAATGCTGGTCTTTCTCTCTTCTTTCCAGGCCTGGGAAGACTGATGTGAGGGGGTAGAGAGAAGAAACAGTGCCAATTGCCAATCTCATCCTACTGACCAATATCTGGGCATACCCTCTTGTTTCCCATCCCCCAAGATTCCCCAGTGTATCATCATTAATTCACAGCTCAGTTCAGGTTTCTTGCGTCCCTGCTCAAATGGACTCTGATATCAGGAGGTAGGGGGTGGGAGGGAAGGAGGAGACAGGGATCAAGTCCAGCATGGAGGCCCCAGGGGTGGAGGTGAGGTTACCAGGGGAATTGTAAGCCAAGATTACCTGCTCTATCTACCACAGCAAGAACCTATGGGAAAGGTATTTGAGAAGCTACAAATTGTACCTTTATTGAATGTTTTCTAATACACTAGGGATGGGGGTAGGGGAGGCTTATCAGACCACATAACCTCATCTTCCCCTACCTCCATCCCCCTCTCTCAGCCTGATGTATGATGAGATCTCTTGTTTAACAAGGAGGTAGCACTAGTATGTATGTGTGGGGGGAGCAATCCTGTGTATAAGAGCTCACAAATTGACAGCACCTATGACCAGCCATTTTGTTCCTGATAGGCTTGTCAGGGGGAAAGGACATGATCTTTTCATGGGCACTCTTTGGGTCAGATGCCCCTTTCCTCTACCCCCTCCATGTGAATGCTGTCAGATTCACCACTTTTCCTTCCAGTGCCCTGTGTATAAGAGAGGTGGGAATTCTGTATGGGGGGCAGGGTTGGAACTAGGGCTGGCTGGGGGAAGGACAAAGGATAAACTAAGGAAGGTAGAACTTTGGGACAGGAGATTGGGGCAGGGGAGACTAAGGTTTAGCTGACTGAGTGGAGAAAGGATGAGGCAGAGAGGGCAGAGGGTAAATACTTAGGGGAGGCAGAGTTGGCCAAGATGGGACAAAGAAGAGGTTTAGGTAATAGCAGTGGGAGAGACAGAAGTGGATGGAGCAACAGCATTAGGGATACAAAGGGTCTAAGGAGGAGAGGACAAGAGAAGACGGTCAGAGAAGTGGTGTCCAGGAGTGAAAGGGAAGGGAATGATCCAAGCATCAAATAACAGTGCTGAGCATGGATGAATCCTCAGAGCGGGTTGGCAGGGTAGGAGGCAGTTTTGGTGGACGACGGGCCTCTTCCTGGTTCCTCCGCACGTAGTGAACAAGATAGGCCACGACTAGTGCCAGCCAGCCTCCCATGGTGACAAGCAGGGCAGCATCTGTGCCTCTCTGGGCCCCACCTCTCCCGCTCCCACACATTTCTGCCTCCTCTATCAGTGACAGAAATTCCCGTCCCACCAGCTCTGGCCGGGCACTTGGTCCACATACAATGCCTGCCCCAGTACCAGGTGCCAACCTCACCCATCTCAGCACCTCCTGAAGGGCACAGTCACAGCGCCATGGATTGGCAGACAGGTTCACTTGGATCTGTAATTCCCTAAAGGCCTCAGCGGGCACAGATGTCAGTTGGTTGGCAGAGAGATCCAGGTATCTCAGGGTGTTCCCCAGACCCTGGAAGGCAGCATCTGAGAGGCGGACGAGGACATTGTGCGATAGGTCTAGCTCAGCCAGGGCAGGAAGATGCTGGAAGGCACCAGCAGGCACAGATGCCAGCCGATTGGCATCCAGGTAGAGCTTACGGGTGTCATTTGGGATGCCTAGAGGCACAGCAACCAGGCCAGCCTGGCTGCAACGGAATGTACGCTCACCAGCTTCCTCTGCCACATAGCATCCCCGGGGAGGTGCCTGGGCACTGGGCATAGTGCCCCCCATGTCCATCACCAGCAACAGGAGGAGGGGAAGATGAATGGCTGGCAGGATCATGACCACAGATCGGCATAATTCTCAGGCTAGGCAGGACCTGAAGAAAGTAATTGCCCTCCCCCCCACAAAAAATAAAAAATACTCCCACTGATACTGCTCAGGGGATATCCAGGAAGGAATCCTAGTCCTTGCTTTGTGGGATCTGTCTTTGTGGGGTTTAGGTATCTCTAAATTCTATCCATAGGGTCCCTAGTGGGTCCATGGGTCCCTCTGTAAGATCTTTATCTGAGGTCCCTTTGTTGACTGACTGGGAGTCTGGAGGGGTCCTAAATCTGTGCCCTATTCTCCATTCCCTCATTTGGGACATGGTTTTCTGCACCTCCCCCCCCCACCTTGGGGGCTAACAAGCTGGCAGGGGTAGTCAGGCAGATCTCTGTGGTGCTGGGAATTGGACTGACACTAAAGGGAAGGGAGTATGAGGGATGAGGGAAAAAATGAAATGATAATAAGATCCAAACAGTTGGAGAGACTAGGGCCTTTTCCCTTCTGGCCCTTGCCCTCAGTTTTTATCCTCTCTCAACTTCTCTTTCTTTTCACTAACTTTACCTACCATAAGCCCCTCCTTCTCCCTCAGGACCTACCTCACTCCTTTCTTTTCCCCTTTGCTTCTCTGTCTTTTCCTCTCGAAATTCTCACCCCAGTCAGCACAAGAACTTGCTTCTCTGCAGCTTTTGCTTTATCTTCCAGGAACCAAGCGGAAAGCAATTAGAATAGGGAGGGTGCTGGGACAGTATTGGGTTTCCCCCCCATGTGACTCTAAAACCAGAGCCCCAGGCGTTGGCTACCTGAGCAGAGACAGAGCTGTCAGAGGGTGTCCATATCCCTGACTCCATCTTTGAACCTGGGAAATGTTAGGCCAATCGTGTCTATATTTCTACCAAGGCTGGTTCCCTGCGGCCCCAATTTTGGGCTCTTACGGCTCAAGAGAGGTCACAGTACCAACTTTCATAGAATCATCACTCTAGTGTTGGTGGGGGCAGGGAGGGGTGTGTCAGAGGTCATCAAATCCAACCTCATTGAGGGATTTAAGGAGTCCTAGGGAGGTGAGGATTTACCCAACATCAGTAATTGTCCGGTGTGATTTGAACCCAGATTCTCTGACCACCACCATCAATGTTCTTTCCACTGTACTAAGCTGCCTGCCTCCTTTTGTTTTGATAGGGGCTCTTAATATGGCAACCTACATCATCTTCTCTCAAGGCCTTTATTTTTTTTATTTTTTATTTTTTAGTGAGGCAATTGGGGTTAAGTGACTTGCTCAGAGGCACACAGCTAGGAAGTATTATGTGTCTGAGGCTGCATTTGAACTCAGGTCTTCCTGACTCCAGGGTCAGTGCTCTATCCACCAAGCCACCTAGCTGCCCCTCAAGGCCCTTATTCTGACATGGCCCCCTCACCCATGCTGCCCTCCATAGTGACACTCCCCTATAGCAAATCAAAACCTAATAGCACCCCCTGATTTCCTGACACTCCCTCAAGTATCACCAACCCCAGCCTGCCCCAGCTCCTACCTTCAATGCCTCAGGCACCTATATTTGGGAGCGAAGATGGGGTGAACTTCCCACACTGCCTCCATGGGGAAGAAATCTCTGTCTTGCACATTCCAGCCCACAGATGTAGGAAGATTCACTCAGGCCCTTGCTGACTACTGTCCTGACCTCTTCACCTCCCCTCCTCCCACCTTTTGACTCCCTTGGCTTCCACCCCAGCTGTCTCATGTCTCACTCCCACCCACATGCCATAGACTTCCTGCCATCAATACTGAACAGCACCCCCCACCCCCATTCCAGCCAGGCATGGGTGGTTAGGAAAAGTTCTGCTCTTAGAGAGCATGGATCCTCTTTTAGCCCTTACTTCTGTCCAGA